TTTAAAATCCAAAGATTACTGAGGGGTAGTGAGTGATGAATGAGGAACTTCTGTGCAGAGCTTTCAGGATTTCCTGGTAAAGGGAGCTGTTTAATTCAGCTATTTTTTTTAATTATAGCTAAATGTAAAGGCATGTGTTAAGAAGGGAGAGAAACAAACCCATCATATGAAATGGAGAATTGGTATCCAGCAAAGAAAACCATTTACAAAGGATGCTTGAGCAGTAAGGAGGGCATTTAGGCAAGCCATAATAACAATTTCAGGACTAAAGTGAAATTGTGGAAGACTTGAAGCTCAATTATTTGCTTACTGAAAACAAAGGTAAAAGTTCTTTTTTTGTAGGTTTAATTTAATAGAAGGAAACATGCAGGAACTGTGCTTTGTTTGGCCAAGAAAAGCAGAACAAGAATTTGAAACCTGAATTTGCTTTAAATGGGAAGGAAAAGAGCAGTTTAACAGTGAACTGGTGGAACAGCTGTTGAAAGTAGTGAATTTTTAATTTCCAGGTGTGTGTGGATCAAGACAGAATTTTGCTTATTTTCTTTTAGCCAGATACACTTTAGTCAGAATAATAGAGTAGTTAAGCAAATGCTCTCTGTTCAGTGTCAGGAGGGACCGTTCGTGTTTTCAGCCTGGTCTTTAAAAATTGTGAAGATGTGCAGCAGGCTGGTGTCACTCATTTCTAATTAAAGCCTTGTGGTACTGTGAGAAGTGATTTAATATCTGCAGTTGAAGTCAGGAAACCCCTCAGATGTTAGTGCATCTGAGAGCAGTGTGAGCTGTACAAGGGAAATCCACTCCTGCCATACCCAGCAGCCTTTCCTCTGACCAGACTTGCATTGAAAAACAGGAGAAAGGTGAAAACTTCTCTGTTCTGCACATCCAGCTGGAATTTCCCTCTGAGATCAGTGCATTTTCCATGGGAAGACAATCTTGGCTTGAATGTGTGTTTTGTGTAAGGATTTTTTTACAGTTTGTCAGTCACATGTTTTTATAATGTTTTATCATAACAGGTGACTGACAGGTGAGAGAAGGTATAGTCATACTTGTCAGGCACAAAAGCACTAAACAATTGTCAGTTTCTGAATGACAAACTGTAATGTTTAAATAGTTGGAATGAGGACTTCATTGTAGCCATACAGCATCTTTTATTAAGTTTTTTATTAAACTGGGCATAATAAATCACTTACTGGGTTACAAGTCAGTAATGGGGGAGGGGGAGGAAATGCATTTTCTTTTTGTGTGCTTAAAGAAAACACCTGGAAAGTAAGGCATGCTAGAAGAGTTGTGGGGGATGCAGCACCCACATGTTGGATGCTCTCACTGTTGCTGTGAGGAAGATGGAGAGCAGCTGAGTGCCACTGGCAGCCACTGCCTCCCCACTCCCCTGTGAGACTACATTCCAGCAGGGTGGGAGTTTTGCTAGTTTTCTGTGGAGAGTTCAGAGGGTTGTGGATTGAGAGTTTATGTTAAATCTGTAATAGTGGCAGGAGTTTGGGAGTAGTTGTTTTAAAAAGAAATAAAAACCACCAAATGCAGCATGGACTGCTGAAGCCTTAAAGCAAAGAGTGTTATGAGCCACAGGAGGGTTAAACAGTTGAACAATATAGACTGTTTCACTCGTAAATGATAAGTAATGCCTTTTTATTATCAACTCAATTTCTTCTGCTAGCTTGCCTTTTCTCTAACCGTCCATGCTGTCTGGCTGTTCTTAATGTGGCCACAGTTTGCTCAAGAGCCACTGCCACCTGTTGGGGCCCAGAAACCTCCTGTAAGAGCAGGGTGGGAAGGAGCAGCTAACAAGATGGGCTCCAAAGAACAGAAAACTTCTCAACTGGCAGAAAATCTCCTTTAAAGGAGTTTCTTCCCCTTGCAGCCATGTGTCAGAGACCTCTGATAGAAGGGGACTGGAAACTGAATGATGGATTTTAAGAAGCTGTAGCCTCCCCCCTCCTTCCAATTACTGCTTGCATTTATAGGGTAAAATTAATGAAGTTAATTACATCTACTCAAAATTTCTTGGTTGAGTGAATTACTTAGATCTTTTAAAACAGAGCCATAATTTTCTGCAGGGTTCATGGGCTTTTTTTTCAGGGTTGGTTGGTTGCTTTGCTTTATAGTCCCCATGATGTATAGTCGCTATCTGAAGCACTCTGGGGTGCACCTTTTAGAGGAATACAAGATGTCAAATTCAGATTAAGGACATCTGCAAGGTTCAAAGCAAAATTACTGAAATAATTTTAAGAGTGCTAATAAAGACCAGTTTCTAACAAAGATGAAAAGCAGGCTGGATTTGGAGAGTTGAAATGTAAAGGAAAATAACAGGGCAAGGTGCTTAGAGGGTAGAAATACATTGTGTAATTAGCAAAGAAAATGTCTAATATATTCCTTGTCTGACAGTCTTGTTCACTTTGGTGTCATCATTTCCAACATGCAGCATTAACTGAAGGAATTTTCAGGAAAGAAAAAAAAAGCTGAAGAATAATCTATGCAATCAAAACTTTTAAAAGTGATACCTTACAGTGTATAGTATTCAAGATTAGGACTTCAAAGAATGTTTGGAGAGATCAAGCATACGTGATTGTGAGGCTTTAACTGATAATTTTACTTTAAAATTACCTGACATGTAAGGTTGACATTAAAGATAAGACTGAATTTTGGGCTGGAGGTAAACTTCAGCATCCAATTCCGTTTCCACTGAATTGCATGTTGGGTTGTTTTCGGGTTTTTTTAGGAAAATTTTGTGCAGATTTAATTTCAAACTTTCTTGGTTTGTATATTTTTTTTGCTTCAGGGATTTTTAAAAAATAAAAAAGAAGGGTTTTTTTTTAATATGCAAATACTCGTCTTGTGTCTTGTGGTGGTTTAAATTTCTGTATAATACTAATTTACTGCTGTGCTCTGGGCTTGCCTGTACCTCCTATGGTGCTCCACAAGCAACATCTTACAGGCTGTGCATGTCCTTGTGTCTCCTGGAAGGCAGAATGTGCTGTGTTTTGTGAAATGCAATTCAAAAAGGCCCTGGTTTATGTAGAAAATAAGGTGATACGTACATTACTAGAGCTTTCCTGAAACATTTCAGCAGTGTTTTGTAATGGGAAACCTCAGATTTTTCAGTTGAAAGACTTGTGTTTCAATTTTCCATCACTAAAATTCTAATTCTCGTTGCGTACGAGTCCTCATTATACACAAACCCAGTGCTAACAGGGATTCATTTCCCAGGAGGAAAGGCAAAAGCATCAGGTATGTGATCCTGATACAAATAATTGCCCCCTCAATGTGGGCAGAAAGGTAACACGAAGTGTAGCATGAAGTCTCACACGGTGGCACAGCAAGCACGAAGGTTTTGAACAGACATATTGTCTGGACATTTGGTTAGGGCTCTCTGAACATGCACACTCAAAAAACCAGTTTAACAGCAGCATGTGCTGGTTGTGCACAGAGTCAAGCAAGTAAGCCTGGGCAGGCATTGGGAAATCCTCCAAGGAAACTAATATTCTTGTCTGATGATACTTCTTCAGGGCATTAGGGATGTGAGGTGTCCTTTGGAGTCACACCACTGCAGGTGGCATTCCTTGTGTTAATGACTGAGCCCTACCAAGGGAAGTCATACTTGTATTTCGGGAAGCCTGTAACATTAACTTGTTGTTTGAGTTGTCTTGGGCTAGGCTGATCAAGAGAGAGACTTGGCTTTGGTTTGGTTTGTGCAGTGTCCAGCACAAGGACATACCCGTGAGTGAGGTTCACTAGGAGCTGTTGCAATAAGAGCAAAATGATGTCTCGGCTACTGAAATTACCTTTTAGTAAAATACATGCTCTAAAACCCCCATAAATTTCACATGGAGGCAAAATATTTACTGCAGCTACTGGTTGAATTGTACTGATTGCAGGAGTGACTAATGTGGAGGGAGCACTCCTCTGAAAATGAGCAGTTTTACAAAGAATCAAAGTTGTTTGTTTGATAGATGAGTTATCACAGGGACTTGTTCTTTTCCCATCTGTGTTTTGGGTAGTCACTAGTTTTACCTAAATGTTAGAGAGATTGTGTGTTTGTCATCATTAATAATTTTTATTATGTTCTACTAAGAACTGGAAGCCCTTTGTTTTCTGTTTGTTGCTGTGAAATTGTTTCAAAATTTACAACCTCACAGATGTAGAATCTTTCTGTGGATTTTAATTGTGTGCATTTATGATTTTGGTGCTTTACAAGATTCTGGAGCTTAAGCCCCTCAGCTGTCACCATTCTCTGCTGCTGATGGAAACACCTTAGCAGCAGCAAGTAAACTGCTGGCAAAAGGAATTGCAGTGCTAGGATAAAGTTGTTTCTAATCTAAGTGCTTCTCAGTTGAGAATCACAGCATGAGAAAAAACATATTCGAGGAATCAGTCAATTGTGGCTTTTTTCTAATGTACTATATTTACAACCTCTGACAATTTGAGCTGAGAGCAGCAAAAACGTGGCCTAATTGCAAGGACTGCAAAAATGCTCTGACTTTTTCCCCCTGGATAAATGCTTATTTCTTTGGGATGAAATGCATATCTGCATTATGAAAGAAAACAATAACAGTGCTGTGTCTGTGCTCATTAAGTGGTTGGAGAAGAATGAATGAGTCTAGATTTTTCTTTGTGTCTGCCTAGATTTCAGATCACACACTAGAGCATGTTCCCTGATGCTTCTAATTCTGAAGGGAATATTGTACATTTTGATGATACTTTTATTACCACTTTTCACTTTCAAGAATGGCTGTAAGATTTTGGAGACACTGTTGTGTGATGGTATGCAAAGAGTAAACCTTTGTAATTCTGGAGTGTAAGTATAGAAAATAACTCAGGATTTCATAATGTGTCAGGATTTCCTATCAGCACCAAAGTGCTTATGATTTGAAAGAGATATGTGTTACTTCTGTGAGATTACATGTAAATAAATATGTATTTAAGCAATATCTTTTTTGCAACCTTACTGGCTTAACTTGTAACATACTGTTGTTTTTTCATCTTAGGTTTGAGAGTAACTGTGTTGCTAACATCGTCCCTCATGGTACTGGGAGCTGGCCTGAGATGTGTTCCAGTTTCAGACCTAGAAATTAGGAAGAAGTAAGTGAATTCATTATTTTAATATACATATTCTATTCTTTCTGCTAATTTAATTTTTGCTGCTGCTGCAAAGAAATGTTAGTGCAAAGTTTTTGAAAGAAGTTGAAATGCCAGTGTTTGTTGTGTGGCTATGGGCTTACATGCCTCTTTGCTTCTTAAATGGATTTTTCTAGTCCTTCTTCTACATAGTATCTGAAGATCAGAAAGCCCTTTACAAACTTCAGTTAATTAAGCCTTGCCCCATCCTGCATAACTGATATTCATCTGCTTTGCAAATAAGGAAGCAGAGATTTAGTAGAGCTGTTCAGAAACTGGCCCAAGATCACACAGGGAGCCATGCCTCCAAACCCAAAAATATGTATGCAAATGTTAAATAATTAATTCATTTTCTCACATTGGATGTATGGGATCATGCCGTGAGACAGACGAGTTTGTGCAACATGACCTTTTTCATGGAGTCTCTTCTAGTCTGCATTCCAAAGTAGCCTTGTACTTTCTCTGCAGTGAAATGATTACCTTCTGTGCACATTTAAAAGTTTGTGATATAAGCAGATTCCTCCCTAAAAATCACACAAACCAAACAACTCAATTGTCCTGTCAGCACATCCTGAACCTGGGAATCCTTGGTAAGTACAGGAGTAGTGCTCGTTGTGTTCAGCCAGGGAATACTAATTGTTTGTTGTTCACTTAACTTTCTTTTGCCACTTTCCCAGAAGGAGGTAGGCGTACACAGGCATTACTACACAATTCTGCTTCATTAAATTCAGTACTAGCACTAGCTCTTCACTACTTATGCTTGCATTATATCTAAACACCAAGAAAAGAACTTACAAATAAAAGGTTTCTTTGTGGGTTAGTTTTCCCCCTTGAATTCTAGTCAGATTCCAGGCAGTCCTTGTATTATTTCAGCAAGTTCTTTGTTTTTGTGGGTTTTTCTCCCTGTAGTATTACTTCCTCTGAAAGTCAGCTTGGAAATCTTTTTAAGTTGAGAAAGAAAATGTTTGGTGTGCAATTAAAAGCAGGTGACTGGGTATCATGGATGAAACAAAGGAAGAGGTTCAGAGAGAGAAATGAGAATGTAAAAAACCCACATGGATTGTAAAACTAGGCCCAATAAGTAAACTAAGAGCAGCGTGTCAGGTTTGGGGGGGTTGCAATTTCAGTTCTTAGGTGCGTAGTGAGCATATAAGGAAGCACCCAAGGTGCTCCTGATGTTGGTTGCCCAGTATTGCCCCTTCAACACAGTGTTCAAGGACTCTCTGAGCAAGGGGAGGTTGAACTAACCATGTTGTGCTACAGTTCACAGTGCCCCCCTTCAGGTGAAAATGTACTGTTAAGGAGGCCAGGAGAGCTGTCCTCATTGTGCCCTTGTCTTGCCTTTTTTAAAGATGCTAAGGGATGCTCGACGTTCAGTTCATTCATTCTCATCGATCTTGGATTAAATATCAATAGCTTTTGAACAGGTCAGATGGCTTAAATGCAGTCAAATGTGGTGTCCTGTCCAGCTTTTCATTTATGATTTATGCCTAAAGAATGTGCTGCTGTAGGCTTTACCAAAACAAGGATGAAGACTGTAAATGCCTGAGAAGAAATTCCCAAATGAGATCTAGATGTAAGATATCTGGGGAGTGGGAGGGAGAGTTTTCACAATTTCTGATCACCTTTAAACAAGGTTTCCCAGTGTAGCTGCAGCAAGGGGGCCTAGGAGAACAATGAAATACATGCCTAAGGAGAAACATTCAAAGAACAACTTATTTAACCAGGAAAAAATGGTTGTGGACTCTATAGAGTGATGAGCGAGATGTATAAAACATGATGTTACCATTTATTGAAAACTATGTAGGAATAAAGAGCATGAGCAGAATTCTGATGGAAAAGGTTAGTAATTTCCTATATTCATGCTGTGAAAATATGCATCATCTTCAGCTGAAATTGATAAAATTGCTTACATAGCCTACTCCAAAAAAAGAGGCATTTTAAAGAATTTCGGCTCTACCTGAGGAAGTAGTTTGATCTTTTACACAGTTTGATTAAAAGTCTGCAGAGAATTAATTATAGCTAACCGTGAAAAGCAAAAGGATGGTTTTCAGTGAAGTTTCTTAAGACATTGTAAATAATTGTACAGACTGTGTGATGTTATACCAGGTAACCTGCGTTGTTTTGAGGGCTAAGGCTGAAGGCCAATTTTCATCCTTTACTTGACATGTGATACCGTATGAAATAATATTTTTGAGATCAGTGTTATTGCTTAATGCTTAGCCACAAGTGACTGAGCAGTAAACTCTGCACTTATTCTGGATGTGTATATGTGTTAGTACAACAATCTGGGTGTTGCAGAGCCAGTCAGATGGACAAGATCACACACAAGCCAATATTGAGGCGTTTCAAAAGACAGTGTAACTGGAATGTCTTTAAATGCCTTTGCATGTTTTGTAGGATGTTCCCTCAGTCTGTGAGTAATCTGCAGTAGTATACTGAAGGATTTCTATGGGGCACTTATGTCAGAGTTAACATACATGAAATGAAAAGAACGTTTGTGAGGTTTGAAAGGTTTAGGTTGGTTTTTGTTCCACTTTGTAGCCGTCTCTGCTCCCTAAGCTCTTGTGGTTTAACTTTAAGGAGAGCTGCTAAAGCCCATCACCTATCAGAGCAATCACAGATGTAAGGAAATCACCGTTAAGACAGGACGTTTAGTCCTGACTCTTTATGCTCCTTATCTCACACAGACCTGTAATATCCAAGTGTGTTCTTAAGCTCCTTTCTAATCTGTAATTTTTCTTTTGGCTGTAGTGTGTAACATCAGACTAAGACTATCTCCAGTTTTATGAGTCATGTTTTAAACACAAACCTTAACCTCTCTTTTCAGTTCATTTGATGCACATATATATGAGAGAAAAATCAGGTTGCACATTTGAGTGTCTCTTGAAGCAGATGTGAATTTTCCATGGTGAATTTTCGTTCTCTGCCAGTCTGTGGCCTAAAACTGTACTGGGAATCCATGCCAAAACTGCATTAATTCAGTGAAGACTGAATTTGAAGTACGTGACAAAAATGTTGGGAGTGTGGACTTGCATGTGAGATGGAGGAACCATCCTTTACACGGACTAGTAAAGTCCCTCTTGTCTACACGTATACTCTTACGTCCTTTCCTCCTTAGCCCACTGACCTGTGAGGTTAATCTGTCTATCATACAGACAAGGATGTCAAAAAGAATTTTTCCTATGTACCGTGCACTTCTGGGTTTGTGAAATGTGCCAGTATGTGCCAGGGAATTTGACTTTTTAAAATAAAAACCCAAACCATTATTTTATATGTTATGAAAACCTCATTTGCCACATCTGTCTTTTTAGTTCACTATTAATGTATGTTATATAGAACATAAAAAAAAGTTATCAAATTGTACCCTTCCTGAATCTTCTTCCCTTCCCTGAAGGTTCTAAGAACATCACTAATGCTTTTTGCCTGCATTTTGCCAGTCCTTCAGTTTTTGTCTCCTGCTTGTCACTGAGTGAATGTTTTCGTTGGACTCCTTTAGTATTTGATTATTTTATCCTAAACATTAACATTACTTGAAGGCCATTTTTTAATAGACTGTCAGCGTTGGTTTTTCCCTTCACATAACACTTCATATTTACTACAAAACACTTCATATTTACCTCATATCCTATGTTTAAGAATAGATATATTTTAGGTCTTCCATGTGATTGTAAAATAATAAATCTAGGCAAAAAGCTGAATGAGCTGAAACATGTAAGAAAGAAGGAAATAAAGTGATGAAATCAGCCCATAGCCATAAATCTTTGGCTTTTAAGGCTGACCATGTGATGTAAGACTTCTTAAAATGTTTTCAAAGGCAGGCTAATTAAAGGCATGGAAGTAAAGGATGTAACATAATTTGTCATTCGTATTGAACGTATTAATTATGCAATTTATTAGAACTTAGTATGCTGTGGGCTGGTAGTGTTTGTCCTTCACATTAGACTTCACAACAGAGAAGTAGTCATTGAGCACCTTGAGTCATGATGCTGAGAGAGCTCCTTGGCAGTAAGTACCATGGAAATGTTTGTTGGGAATGCAGCAAAACAACACTGAGAGTGACAGTGGAAACTGAGTGGTTACTTACACAGTTGTTTATGGGGATGCACTGGTAGTTGGTAGACTCTGTAAAGGGGTCTTTTTTGTTAATACCAAGTGTTAGGATTTTGAATCTTTTTGCCTGCTCTTAGGTAGATTGTTGTTAATTTTTTCCTTTATCCTATTTGAAGATTCGCTCTTACCACAACTTTGATACATTTTGTTTCGAGTAGCTAGTTGCACCCTAGTTTGTATTTTGTTCTGGTTAGACTTAGTCTTTAATAGTTTCATGTTTTGCCTTTTTCATCCTGAAAAGCCTAAAGAATGACATGGAATCATCTCATGATTTGTCTTTTCTGATCCTAAGAGTGCCATAAGCCACCATTCTTATGCATGAAAAATGCAAAGAGGCACCTCAGAAGAGGTAATTTCAGTAAAGATGTACTAGGATTCTCATATTCCCTGGCAATACTGAACACAATTCTGTGCTCAAAAAAGACCCCCTAAACTGGACCATCTGTGGAGAAGAGAGATTAAAATGTTCCAGGGAATGGAAAGAGCCTTTAAGGAGAGGATAGTAGAAAAATCTGCCTGTAAGAAATAAAGACAGAGTGTGATGTGTGTTTTGTGCTCCCTAACTCACTGGGGAAGAAAAATGAAAAAAGGATTTAATCTAAAGTGAAGTTCTGGAAGTGAAAAGATGAATAAACATACCTGTTTGTGTGCTGTAGCTCAGCTACCGTGGGAGGAAGATAAGATGGAGCACTTGCCTGGCCCTGATGGTGCTAGTTTGTGCTTTGGCTGTGGTGCTGGGGGAAGGCTAAGCTGGGCTGACCCATGGTATCAGAAAGAGGTAGATGAGGGAAGAATGTAAACAGGTCATTCACAGGCAGGTTCTCATGGAGAATACTTAATTTTTATACCCC